TCACATGTAAATCTATTTTTCTTTCTGTTTTTTTGCATTTATTATTGTTTTGGGTCATTACTTTCTTTCTTCTGATTTAAATGTTTCATGTTTCTTTTCTATATTTTATAAAGAAGGGAGTGCCAGCCAGGTTGTGGAACTTATGTAAACAACAACAACAACAATATTCCCAATCGGTTGGGGTCTGAGGGGTCAGTTGCGAACCTTTTCCTTGTAATTATACAAGGAAGTTGTTTCCGTAGCGACCCAAGGTGCATTGGTCGTTTGATATATTTTTTTCTAGAAACTTCACTAATAGAAGAAACACTAGAATTTAATTGAGCCATTTGAGTGTATGTAAACAAAAAAAATATATATTTTTTTTGGTTCTTATTTTCATATAATTTTTGTTTATCATGTAAGATCTTTTAGTAGCAACTAATATTCTTAGCTTTTTAACTTTTGTATCTTGTGTGTATTTTATTGCACTTGTGCATACACTTATATGCGGTGTTTGTTGATATGAAGAACCTTATGAGATAATTTATAAATTATAATGTTATTGAAAATGAAATTTATTTTATTGAATTCTTATGTCACCATAGATTTATTATTATTATTATTATTATTATTTTGTTAATATGATTGTGAACATATTTTTTTTTATTAAAAAATCATAGTGGCACTCAGGATTTACATCACGAGCAATGTATATATGATTACAAAATGTCAGAAAGTTCATTTTTTTTTTCTTTATTTTTTCTTTTTTTTCCCAAACTTTCTGCTGAATAGCAATCGGGTAACTTTTTTATGTACCAAATCTTCTCAAAACCAAAAGTGAGAAATCTTTATACTTTGGGAAAAGTATAAATTTCTAGTATTATTTTTGAACATAATAATTTGGGCAGTCAACAATACATAGATATATGAATCATGATGATCTCCTTCCTTTTACCTCCACCGTCCTTTCTTTTCTATTTTCTTTGTCTCTCAATTGGACTGAGTTGTTTGCAAATATAATTCTATTCAATTAGTGAAAAGCCGATCTGAACGGAACTTTTTCGAACTTAAATTGAACTGAGTCGACTCATTTATTAAACGAGCACAAGCTCAACCATAATCTACGTACTTGACTCGAACAACGCCCATAATGTTGGTATTCTAAATTGAAAACTGCATATATAATTAATAATTATTTCTTGGATAATCAGATCATATGAAACTTTTATTTTTCCCCTGTTAACATGATTAGATGGCAAAATTACTCCAAAATGAACTACACCACTGAGGCACTAACCCGCTAATTTCATAAAACAACGAAATCCTAATTACATAAATATCGATAGATTTATGAGAAATTAATAGTAGCATTAGTAATTAAAATACCATTTATCAATAATTCGAATTATGAGTTCAATTATTAACTCTCTAAAATTGAGAACATGAATTCCCATGGAAAAGCTGATCGATCAATATATATAGTACTTGCGAAATAATAATTATGAGTTGTGCATGCGCCTACTGTAAAAATAAAAGGCCGTACGAACGAGTGCTGCATTATCTAGAGGAAACAATCCTGCTATGCTATCACCTGATTTTGCAATATACTTTTTTTTTTTTCAAAATTTTTATTATAAATCAATTTATTAAGGCTCGAGTTTGACTATTAAATGAGGTGAGCCCGAGCTTGTTTTGCTAACGAGACAAACTCGGCTAGACTCGAGAAAAGCTTGAATCCAAACTCCGAGCATAAAAATCCGGCTCGACCAATTACTTACACTAGACGTGAGGCATCAAATGCAACACAAAATTAAAGGTGATGATGTAAGCAACTCCATCTTCTGTTCGATCATATTCATAATCGTAAAAGGAAAATATATATATGTGATAATTAAGATATAATAATGTTAACATCCCTTAATTGATATGTTGATTATTTTTCAAGAAAACAATATATAGTCATGCACTTCATTGTGCCTGAACTTATATATTCAACATCAAATACTTAATACTAGCTAAATGGAACCTGAAAATGAAGTACATGTTAATATTGAATCTAGCTAGATCATTAATTATATATAGCGGGAATTAAATAAATTTGGTAAAATATATATAATTTGTACAAAAGGGGATTTTTTTTTTTCAAACAACACCCCAGAAGGATGGGAGTTAAGCCCGAACTTCCAACCTGTATATAAAAAGACCCTAAACGGGCTGAAAGATCACAAGACCACAAGTACAATGTTTGATGTACATCAAGTCAAACAAAACCTAAAATAAAAGCAAGAAAATATACAATAAAAAGTTGGCAACTGCGTCGAGAGTACAAAAGAACATATCCTGGTCCGGGAAGAGTCCCGGCAAAAAAGTCAGTATCACAATGTGGCAATGCGACCTAAGGTAGAATCGACTACATAAATCTGAATTATGGGATCACACATATGTACATTAGATGATGTGTGGAGGGTTATGATAGTTTTTATTCTTTTTGCAGGAAAAAAGGTTGGTTTGAGTAGACAATTGCAGCCCTCACACTATCATCCTATATTGGCATTACCCATCATTTTCAATTTCATTTCAACACAGACAGACAGTATTTGACATGGATGCAAATTTCCTTTGTACCCCACTACTTATTTAATTTATAATATACTCTTTCTTTCTTCTACTTAATAATAATATTTATAATAATATGAATCTCATCATCATCAATTACACACCTATTTTCATTTCCTCTCCTCTCTTTGTATGCTTCTTCATGAACATATAATTAATTAATTACAATTCTCTATTTACATGGATACATTTAAGCTCATAATAATAGTACAAATTAAAAATTGTGACTAAGGAATGTAGCTAGGCATGTTAATTGATTATCAATATAATATTATATATATATATATATATACAACAATTAAAAGAGAAATAATATTTATCATACTTCACAAAATTATCATATGGTGTCTGTTAAATTTTGGTTATTAATTAATAGAGATTCAAGGACCTATATAAAATTAAGTTGAGAGTACTCTTGATTGACCTATGAGAATCTTAATAATTTGTTCTCTCTGAACAAACTACACTGCAAGAAATCATTACTAGAGCATGCATCAAAAGCTGAGCTTCAAGAATGGTTTGAACGTATATTATAGTTATAACTTACATGGATGTATATCTTATAATTAATTAACCTAAGCTCAAGAAACTAACATACTATATATGTTTAAATATAATCAATATTTAGTTACTGATTTTATTTTCATGGGAATTATTGAGGAACTTATAACCATCTAACACAGGGATGAGGGGCACCTACGGTGCATTTTTAAACAGCACCTACGAGGGCTCCCCTACCATTGGATCATGTTAAGTAACATGATCCAATGGTGGGGGAGGGGGCACCGTATGTGCTGTCACCGCATGCGCCTAGGTGGGATCTTCCCCAACTTCACCATTAACATTACAAATATCATATCCAATTTAGATGTTGCATAAACCTTAAGTTTATAAATATATGATCCAAATACATTAAAATTAATTAATTGAACTCTAGTTTTAACGAACCGAACTAAAATAAAAATAAAAAATAAATTTAAAAAATAAAAATAAAAACTTACCTGAAAAATTGTTCACCAAGTTAGATGTTTGTCTTGCTTCTTTCCAATTTAATTGTTACACTAACCTTCAAATTTTAAATATATGGTCTAGTTATCAACATTAACTAGTCGAATTCGACCTTAACAAATCCGGTTCGAATGAAAAAAATTAGAAAAATACGTAAAAAAACAATATTTTCGAGCTTTAACATGCATTCGTTCTAGCAATATTAAACTTTTTTTTTTTTTT